GTTTTACTACAGTAAGGTTTGCTTTAGATGCTTGTTTATACCCCTTCTTTACGAATTGCAATGTTTATTCTCTTCGTTCTAAAACCTTGATCTTTTATTGTTATGAGGTGAAGGAGAAAAAGAGAGGGAGAAGAACGTACTACCTGACCTTGGAGAAGGAGGAGAGAAAAGGGGGGTATGGCGCTCAGGCGGCCGGAACAAGGGAGTTGAGGCGGAGATACGTGATGCTTGCTCCTTGGTAACTCTGTATCTATATCTTTCTTTTTCTCTTGTTGCCCTGAACTTGTCTTGAGTTGGATGCCTAGAGCTTTTGCCCAATGATGTTATACTGAGGGCTTTAGGTTGCCTTTGAATATACTGTTTTCCTCTGAGACTTTGATGCTTTATACGCCTTTGCCTTCTTCTTCTGACTTTGCCCCTTGAACGATTTGCCTATGATTGCCTGGAATGTTTATTGCTGGCCCTCTGAGATTGATATGCTTTGTTGAAAATGCTTGCTTGCTTCTGTGAGTTGCCTTTGGAATGTGGAACTTGCCCAATGATGTATTTTACTGAGGGCCTTGATGCTGGGTGGACTGGCTTAAGGTTTTAGTTGTTTTGTTGGTTTATTGACAGGCATGGTGAGGTTTTGAGGTTCTGAGGTTGAATGCTTAGCAGTTTTTTGAGTTTGTATATATGGTTCAGGCAGGGTTGTGGTGTTTGACAGGGCGCAGGTTAAGCTTCAGCATGTTATGTGTTTTGTTTATTAGGTTTTGAGTGTTGAGATATGTTTGATGGTTTTGTTTGCTTCAATTTGATGACAGGCAGGTTTAGGGCATTAGCAGGTTTTTTAGTCTTTGGGTGATTTTGTGAGGCTTGGCCTTGAACTGGTTTATGGGCTGCAGGTTGATGTGTTGACAGTAGGTGATATGAGTTCATCAGGTTTTAAGGCTTGGATAATGCAGGTTTTTGCTTGCAGTAGGTTATGTCTTTGTTTTGTTGGTTTCAGTAAGTTTGATGCAGGTTTGGCCTTGACAGTAATGTGAGGCTTCAGGCTCTTTGAGTTTGTATATTTTTTTTTCTCTCTATCCTGCTTCTGCATAAAGCCTGAACCCTTGCCTCTTATCTCTCTTCTTTTTCTCTCTATAGTACAGTTAATATATTTAATATGATTTTTCCTGTACTATTTTGTTCTGAAGGGCCCCCTTCTTGTTGGGAAATGATGATTTAGATTTTGCTTGCATAACACATTACTTCTGCATACTTTATCCAGCTTTTGTGCTCTTTTGATATCTTTCAAAATCTTCTCTTGACAGCTTTTGAGTGGACTTTGTATTTTGACAGTAAATTGCACTTTTTTTATCTTCTTTGATATCTTTGAGTAGACTTTGGCATTTGGCAGCAAACTATACTTTTTTTTTGATTTTTCCAGTTTGGTTGAACTTGAACTATGCAGTTTGAAATCTTGAATTTATGCATTTGACATTCTGCATTCATGAATAAAATTCTTCCCTCTTTGTGAACCGGGAGAAATCCCGTGATTTGCAGAGAGGGTTAACTGATCCCAATCAGTGGCCTCTAATAATGAGCAAATTTTATCTGTCTTTAATTAATTATCAGTCACTGATTTTTCTTCTTTTTTTCCTTTTGCAGATGAAAAAATGGAGCACCGGAGCGAAGTGAAGAACAAAGAATTAGAAATAAATAGAATAGTTTTTATTTTCAATTTAATTATTTGTAAACCATTATTATTTTAAATACTTCGTAATAAATACTTGTATCCAAATAATAACTGTAACAACTATTAAATATGAAATAAAAATTCCATTGATTCATTTAATTCTTTTCAAATCCTTTTCTTTAGTTATTTACTTGTTATTTATAATCCCTTAAATTAAATAAAATGAAAGTTAAATTTCAAGTATTTAATTCTTAGAACCATAAATAATCAACTAAACCTTGTTGATCAAAATAAATGAATTTGACGTCTCCATCATTCAAAGCGACGCACAGTCGAACACAAAAACTGATCAGACGCAATCCCTTTTTTATTGATTTCTTACCAAGCACTGTAAATCCAAACTGCATCTTTCTTTTGACTGGCTCAAACAAAACAACATGAATTCAACCCAACTGCCTCTTTTACTGATTAAATCAAAACAATGCGAATCCAACCCGAATCTTGGAAAATCTTGCAACGTGCTGTGGAATTTTAATCTTTCTGAGAATATGCCCATAAAACCTTAATTCCTGATTAAATGCCAAATAACGTTTGCCTGATCAAAATGTGCCAGAATCAACCAAAACCCTAAGCCAATTGTGAAACAATCCAGAGTCCTGAAAATCAGTAAAAACCCTAATTTTGCTTGACTGACAAGAAAAGTCCGTTTGTCCGATTCTTGAGTCAGTTTGAAAAATCACGAAAGGCTTGAAGTTGAGATTTCTTGTGGAAAAATGCGAGGGCAAATTTTGGGGTACAACACCCCTCAACAAAACAAGATTTCTTCAAACTTGACCTTGAGTCAAGATTCTAGGAGAATTTGCATACGTGGCGTTTGACGTGATTTTTTTTATTTAAAATTTCACGTGAAAATTTGATTATTTTTTAATATTTTTAATATTTTTATTTTATTTAATTTTTATTTTAATTTATTTTAATAATTAATAATTTTTTTAAATATATATATATATATATATATATATATATATATATATATATATATATATATATATATATATATATATATATATATATATATATATATATATATATATATATATATATATATATATATATATATATATATATATATATATATATATATATATATATATTTTTTTTTTTGTAATTTTTAATTTTTTTTTCTCCCACTAGGACAAGCTTATTGTTTTGTTTTATTTATCCCATACTAATTTGATACATTAATTTTGTGTGATATTTAATTTTTCAGTAGGTACTTAATTTTGTTTTTTGGACGGTCGAAAATATGAATCTAATAGTATACACGATCGAAAATGAGTAGAAAATACGAATCTAATAAATTAGTAGTTCAAATACATTGTATTTTGTTGAGTTTTTTTTTTCTTCTTAAAACAAAGTAATATATAAAGGGAGTATTAGAGATACTCAACCCCACTTACAACAACAAGATTCCAAACTAAATACGCCATATTTAAAACACACAATTAAGTCGTTATATAAGCTAATGTATTTATCTATCCCCGATAACTAATAGTTCAGAATAGCTATGAGAACCTAATAATAATGCCCAAGTAATAACAAGTTAGACTAAATATTTTAGAGACTAATTAATTTTACACTATCACTCAATTAGAAAAATCTGAAAGAAATAATTATTAAAGTCTCTAAAAGAACTATTTCTCTATTTCTTTCATATTTTTATATAAGGATCCAATTGCGTGTTTTAATAAGACTCAGAACTTGAGTGTTTTAATAATTATTAAAGTCCCTAAAATAACTATTTCTCTATTTCTTTCATATTTTTATATAAAGATCCAATTGCGTGTTTTAATAACTATTTCTTTTATATTTTTCTAATTGGGTGATAGTGTAAAATTAATTAGTCTCTAAAATATTTAGTCTAAATTGTTATTACTTGACATTATTATTAGGTTCTCATAGGTATTATGAATTATTAGTTATTGGAGATACATAAATATAGTAGTTTATATAAGAACCCAATTGCGTGTTTTAAATATGATGCATTTAGTTTGGAAACTTGATGTTGTAAGTGGGGTTGAGTATCCATAATTCTCCCTTTATATATTACTTGTTTTAAGAAGAAAAAAAAACACTCAACAAAATACAATGTATTTGAACTACTAATTTATTAGATTAGTATTTTCTACTCACGTGTATACTATTAGATTTATATTTTCGACCGTCCAAAAAAACAAAATTAAGTACCTATCAAAAAAATTAAATACCACACAAAATTAATGTATCAAATTAGTATGAGATGAATAAAACAAAACAATAAGCTTGTCCTAGTGGGAGAAAATAAAAATTTTAAATTTAAAAAAAAAAAATTAAAAAAAAATCGAATTTCCACGTAGAATTAAAAAAAAAAAAAAAAACAAAAAAAACCACGTCAAGTGCCACGTATGCAGATTCTACGAGAATCTTACCCCAAGATCAAGTTTGAGGGAATCTTATTTTGTTGATGGTTTAAAAGAATATTTAAAAAAAAAAGAATAAATCAAAATTCGCTACTATTACAGATAGATAAAATATATTTAATTCTTTATTTTTACATGTCACATTTACCCCTAATTTACCGACGGCTAACCGTCTTTATTTAAAATATTATCGACGACCACGAGACTTTGGCAAATACTTTGTGGATAATTTTAAGTTTTCTTGTTGTAGTGAGAGTAAAATGGAGTAATATGAATTTCATTCCATTCAATTACTTACAATTATATAGGAATTAAAAATTTGCTTTGTTCAGTCATAAAATTTCCAAACAATAAAATGAAATTTTTATTCCACTCCAGTGCATTTCATTCTGATATGCTCCATTTCACTTAGGGTGTGTTTGCATTGACGATAATATAATCGATTCTACCAGAATTGAGTTTGGTAGAATTGATTTTAGCTTAATTATATTTGAATACATTTATGTAAAAATGAGTTGAACAAAAAATTTAAATGACAAAGTCACTGTGAATCAATTCCAAAGATGAAAATTACAAATTCTAATTTCAAATAGAATCAATTCAAATCAAAGACTTAAAAATCTTAAAAGAATCAATTTTACATCCATCCAAATATAATATTAATTCATTTTATAATATTGAAACATAACCTAATAGCACCCACCAAATGAAAAATTGAACATTGTTTGTGGCAGTAGTGTAGATTTGAATTGAGACAAGAATCGAAGAAGTAAAGTTTAAACTAATCTCTTGTCCTTCAAGGACAGAGGAATTTCCACTCTCCGCTGGCGAATCCTATCATCCACTCCGACATACTACATATTTTGCGGCAAAGGATTGAGATGAATACGCAAATTCAAGCTTACACTCCATTCTTGTCTTGTATTTCTCCATTTCCAGTAAGTCTTTCTTCTCCACACTACTCCACTCTCACTTCGTTCCATCCATCTTCTAACTTTTCGCCGTTTCAGTCATTTCGTCGGAATCAATTGCTTAGGACAAACCCACGGTTTATTGTGCGAGCAAGCCCTAAGAAGATATCATTGGGTAAAGAGTGCAGACAGAATCTACAAACTGGAATTGATAAACTCGCTGACGCTGTCTCTCTTACCGTAGGACCTAAAGGTTAACGCCTCCTACTTCTTGTATTCTATTTTTCCACTGTTATATTATTTCTTCATTCTATTAATGCCCCATGCACAAATGTCCGAGTTTGCTGTTTCTTATGATTACTGCATGTTTGATATGATTATGAAAGAAGCTTACGATATAAGTGCTTTAGTTTATCTAATTTGGGCCTATTACTCCTAGTTGCTTTTAAGTTAATATTTGAGTTTTAAACTGCCTGCAATTGAATCCTTTGACCAATTTCAGCTCAACATTTTTAGACTTTTGGTGCTGATTTATTTTATTTATTACCACACAGGGAGAAATGTTATTCTTTCTGAATCTGGAAAGCTTAAAGTAGTTAATGATGGTGTTACAATTGCTCAATCGATAGAGCTTTCTGATGCAATTGAGAATGCCGGTGCCATGCTAATTCAAGAGGTCGATCATGGTTGTTAGGTTCTACCTTAGATTAAATGGATGAAAATTTCGCGACAAAGAATTATTATAGATGTGTTGATGTTTTTATTTTTCCTACTTGTAGGTTGCAAGTAAAATGAATGATTTGGCTGGTGATGGTACTAGCACTGCTATAATTTTGGCTCGTGCCATGATTAAATCCGGACTATCAGCAGTTGCATTTGGGGCTAATCCTATTTCTTTGAAGAAGGGGATGGAAAAGACTGTAAAAGATTTGGTGAAGTTCTTGAAGAAGAGAAGTATTCCTGTTGAAGGAAGGGATCATATCAAAGGTCTTCACTATGTACCAGTGCTTGTTTGAGTTTTTATAAGTACATGTTTCTTTGCGAAAATGTGCTGAACATGTTTCTTCCCCATCTTCTGCAGCTGTAGCCTCAATTTCTGCTGGAAATGACGAGTATGTTGGTAATTTGATTGCTGAAGCTATAGAGAAGATTGGATTTGATGGGGTGGTCACCATTCAGTCATCCTCATCATCTGAAACCTCCGTGGTAATTGAAGAAGGGATGAAGGTATTGATGATGATGATAATAATAGTAGTAGTAGTACTCAATGGCAATCATCTGTTCTTTCCTAGATCTGAATGATCAAGTTCTTATGTGTTTACCTGTATTGATTGTTGTCTGTTTTTTCTGTACAGATTGATAGGGGTTACATGTCTCCTTACTTCATTACCAACCAGGAGAAATCCATTGTGGAGTTTGACAATGCTAAAGTTTTGGTAACTGATCAAAAGATTTTAAGTGTCAAAGAAATAGTTCCTTTGTTGGAAAAGGCTATGCAGTTAAGTGCCCCGCTCTTAATTATTGCGGAGGACGTCACGCCACAAGTGTTGGAAACGTTAATAGTGAACAAAATGAAAGGATTACTACAAGTTGCAGCTGTAAAGTGTCCAGGATTTGGAGATGGAAAGAAAGCGTTGTTACAAGATATTGCGCTCATGACAGGTGAGTTCTTACTGCATTTGATAAACTTGGTTGACATCTCTGCCAAATTCCTTTATACCAGGCTTATATTTTTCTATTTTGGAATTATTTTAATAAAGCCTATGCTTCAAATAGTTGATTCTTTTGCAGTATAAACTGAATAGTACAGTGACAAGAAGCTTTTCCATGTCATTGTCTTTTGTTTTCATTTATCATTTTTATGACTGTCTTGGGCACTAATGCAATTTCCATTATCTCATTTTTCTACTATTTCTAGTTGCCAAGACTGAACTTGTGGATTATTTCAGTACCTCAGTAGACTGTGACATGGGTACTGATAAATCTTGGAGTTGTTTTATATGGGTGTAACTGTATGGTGGTAGTTTGAAATTATGATCTGTTTTTTGTCTCATCTGTCTTTGTTCCCATCTCTTGCAACGATTTTTATGCCTAGCATAATTTTTTATACACCTTTTCTGCCTTTGCTTGCTTGACCTCCACTGGCATTAATAATTTAATATCACAGGTGCTGATTTTCTTTCTGGAGATTTGGGTCTCACACTTGAAGGTACAACATCTGACCAGCTTGGTACTGCGCATAAAGTGACAATAACCAGTAACACGGCAACTATATTTGCCGATCCACACACTAAGGCTGAAATTCAGGCTAGAATTTTACAGATTAAGAAGGATATTACTGAAACAGACAATGCAAACCATTCGAGGAAGCTCTCAGAGAGAATCGCAAAACTCTCTGGTGGTATAGCTGTTATAAAGGTACTCAATTCAACAGATATGTGATGGGCTGTCTGTATTCTGATCACCTTGGCTCTTTATTTAGCAACAGCTGTTTCTTTAGTATTTCTTACACTATTCAAGAATATTATAACTCCGAGATTTAAAATTGTTTTATAATATAGTATCATAAAAGTGATGTTGATCTTCTCTGTAAAAAAGTTTCTTCTGCTTTATAATTTCTTTAGTCAGATCAAATATTACTATAGTATTTATATTATTTATTCCACCAAGGACCAAAGAAAAGAAAGATGTCTCATTGCTAGTCAACTTACTCAAATTAGAATTCCGCTAATTCGACTTTCTCTCCTATATCAATTGCTGTAGCATTCCGAATTCTATGACATTGGGTCTTGTAAAAGAATAAATACAATATGATCCTAGATATTGCACCACATGCAAAACATTTGCTTTTTTTGGCATAATACTCAACATTTTTGCGTGAGGGTCTTGGAAAAGTTTAAAATATTAGATATAATCTAGAACTCGACTATAAGGCATAGACCAAATCATATAGGAATATTGAGATTTAAGTTGTATATTATTGGGGACAGTTTATAATATGTCATTGTAGCATTGTTTGATTTAGGTTGCCGACTCCATCTATTGCAAAAGTACTTTTCTTGTTGCTTCTGCTGTGGTAAAAATAGAAATTGTATTCACTTATTTCTTATGTAACTAAGTAGGTCACTGTGTTTTCTTGTGTAACAAAAAGTAGGTCATTGTGTTAAATGCAAGGGTCTTCCTGAATTTCGTTTATTTTTGTATTCACATTAGTGGCATTGGGAAGGGTTTATCTAGAGCTCATTTTGAAGTAACCACTTGCATAAGTGTTTGGAAGAGCTTATAAATATAATTTATATGGCGTATCAATAAGCTCTTTTCCAATAGTTTTAATAAACCCCCTAAGATTTCCTCAAAAAATAAAACTCCCCAAGGTGGCTTATGAAAACTACACATAAGCTGTTTCCTCTTTGTTTCCCATCCTCCCTGAGATTCTATTTTTATAGTGAAAACAATGTTTATAATGAAAAAAATGTTTAGAATACATACAGCATTTCAACTTGCATATCCAAAAGCAAGTAGATTACTAAATTTTAGCAGTTGTGACACAACTTCCCACATAATTAATAAGCGCTTAATTGAGAGTTGTTTATCCAAATGTCTTGATTGCAATTTGTTGTGCTGTAACAAACAGCCATTCTATTAAATTTTGCTCAGAATATGTTACATTCAGATTATTTTCTGTTTAGCGTTGTTTACTACTTAATGCATATACTAATTGTGTAGGTAGGCGCGCACACTGAGCTAGAACTTGAGGATAGAAAACTAAGGATTGAGGATGCTAAGAATGCTACTTTTGCTGCCATAAATGAGGGAATTGTTCCTGGAGGGGGTGCCACATATGTCCACCTTTTGGACTTGATACCTTCCATAAAGAACTCCATGGAAGATCTAGATGAGCAAATTGGTACTGATATTGTGGCGATGGTATGAACAATTGAGTATTCTAGCTCCGTTTCACTGAGTCTAAATATTTTTTCTGTTACGAATTTTAGTTTGTTGTGGATGTTTTTTTCTTTCCATGAAAAAATTGGTAGAGTTTTGAATTGTGAGATTTGCATCTATTGGCTGGTTAGTGAGTTTTCTCTTTTAAATAGATGTTTGATTCTAATTGAAGGAAAAACATTTACTTTGCATAATATACCTCATTTATTTACGGCGGGACATTCTTTTTTCTAAAACATATGCTTGAGCTATACAGTGTGTGTATTAAAATTTTAACCAGTGTTTCCAACATTTTAACTACACTCACTACCTTGAACTGGTTTTACTTTGCTATTTCTTTGTCACATATCCTTAAATTTTATAAAGAATATTCACATGCAAAAATGAAAATAGCAATGCCTGAGTAGGGGAATATGGGCATCCCTTGACATATCTGCAATTTTTTAGTCCTTTCTGGATTTTTTCCCTTTCTTTTATAAATATTCTCCCCCTGCTACTTTAGGAGTAAGCCTTATTCTTCTTGTTAATTGTCACTTATTCTTTCTTTAGTTTCTTGATATTGTTCAGTTGTGCTTGGATCATTGCAGGCACTTGTCGAACCTGCTAAAACAATTGCAGCTAATGCTGGAGTTGATGGAGACGTTGTTGTCGAGAAGACTAAAACGTTTGACTGGAGAATCGGATATAATGCCATGACTGACACGTATGAAGATCTTTTGAATGCTGGAGTAGCAGATCCTAGCCGAGTTACAAGATGTGCTCTTCAAAGTGCAGTCTCCATTGCTGGTGTGGTTCTAACTACTCAAGCTATATTGGTTGATAAAATAAAGAAACCCAAGTCACGTATACCTATGGTCCCTGGTATAACTCCCTAAAATAGAAAAAAACAATAAGAGTTTTGTATATATAGTTGGTCTTCTTCAATGATGAATGCCATTGGTTGAGTCAGCTTGTGAATGTCCCTTGGGTTGATTAGTACTCAGGCAGCAACAAAAATGCTCTTATTATGAATGGAAAAGTCAGGTATGATGAAACCCATGTCATGAAGCCATACAAACAATTAGGAAGTTGAATAGTGTTTAGGCTTTTTTTTCCTTCCAATTTATCAATTCATTTTACAGATGAAAATTTTGTTCCACAGAAGATAGAAACCTATATCTGATATATTCACCATGCAAATTTATAATTTTGCTTTGTCAAGATCATGTATTGGATTTGGTCCCTAATAGATAGATGAATTGTAAGTCTTGAAATATTAATCAAGTTTCTCTACTTTCATTTTATTCTATGAGTAAGTACACTTTCCTTATAAGGCTCTCATACTACGCTGACTTTTATCTTCACTGTGTAGCTACCGAGAGTAATAGCACTTTGAATCCTCTCCTTCACTTTCTCTCATTTCCTCTTCATCTTCTCTATCTCTCTTAATTTCATTCTTGATTATATTTTTATTTTTTAATGATGAGTGAGAGTGAGATTAAGAGAGATAGAGAGGAAGGAGAGAATCCAAATCCAAGTAATAATATTCCAGATTATTGAAACTACAATGCCAAGCAGGGGTATGGATTGTCTCCTATGACTGGATAGGGTCGAGTGAAAATCAACACCATTCAATTATTTTTTAATTAATTTTTTGTATATGTACTATAAAGTGATCATGAACCGTAAGTGAACGGTGGGATTAGTTCTGTAAGATCGGATACAAATATTTTTTGTGGAAGTTGACACGTCTCTTTCTCCCACGTCCTTGATAAATAAACGAAGTAGGAAGTGATTGGCCAATGGAAGATCTTTGACTGGAATTCTCCTGACTTAAATGCAAATACTCTCTCCGTAATAGTTACTTTTTTACTTTTTATACCTATCAAGACAATTAATGATTTTTTTTTATAATATTCTTAATTTTTTAATAATTTATTTAACTTTTTATATAATAATGATTAGGGCATTTTCAATGGTGTTATTCATTTTTGAGTTTTTTTTGTGGGATTTATTAAGCCACGTTAGTTTAAAACAACACAATTAATTTTTCATTTTAATGGTGCAATCTTAGAGAATTTATATTTGATCTCACAAATTTATTTTATATATTAAAATTTTATGCATATTAAATTTATATGATTTAAAATAATAATTTTAATTATTTAAATTTAAATTAATATAAAATTGAAATTAAACTTCTAATTAAAAAAGATAATTAAAATTAATCACAAATTCATGACATATAATTAAAAACAATAAAAATAAATAACACCACATAATTAATCAAACTTAAATTTCATCATCTTTATGTACAAAATGTTCTCAAATATGTTCGATTAGATTTTCTTGGAGTTGATGAAGAATTTGTTTTTCACGAATACTTGCTCTTCTTTGTAATATTTTGCAAGACTTGGATGAGAACCGCTAAATATTTCAGTTGTTGAGTTGTTGTTATCCATAGTATCATAAGAGTAATCAAAATTATCTCCATATGTATGTCGTTTGTCTTCAACAATCATGTTGAGCAATATGATGCACGCATATATGGTATGCTTGAGGGTGTTCATGTGCCAGGCACGCACTGAGTCACGTATAGTTGCAAATCGAGATTGAAGCACTCCAAATATCCCCTCCACATCTTTTCTAGCTGATTCTTGATGTTGAACAAATAATTTTTTCTTCTATCTCTATGGCATTGAAATGGTCTTCACAAATATAGCTCACTCAGGATATATACCATCTGCTAAATAATACCCCATATTATATAGTGTCCCATTGATTGTATATTGCACATTGAAACCATGCTCTTCCAAAATATCGTTAAACACGTTGGATTGATTTAGCACATTAATGTCATTGTTGAAACTGCAATACTAAAAAAAACATGCAAAATCCATAAGTCTTATGATGTCAAAACTGCAATATCAAAAAAAGCATGCAAAATCCATAAGTCTTGTGATGCCACTGCTTCAAGCATGATTGTGGGCTTTTCATGACCACCTCGACAAAATTTTATTTTTCATGCAACATGACAATTTTTTCATTCCCAACTTTTTGATCAACTCTCAACAATTGGATCCTTTAAAATATTGAACCATGATTAGATAAGAAGTTATTCCAATCCCTTGTAAATTGCTCTCAAGACTTTTTTTAACGACAACCCTTTCTTTTTTTTGTACTACCAACTTGAGTAGAAAATTCTATACTATTAGAATTCATTTGAAGTCTATGATACATATTTGGATTGTTTGGTGACAAAAAATATGGCGGAGTTTGTTGACACTGATGGAAATTGAAAATTTTAAGGATTAAGATTTTGATAATTTTACATGTAATTGAACATAGCTTGTTGGTAATGAAAATGATTAGGATCTATATGGCCTAAACAAGTTTAATTTGAAGTAAAAGATAAAAATTTGGGTTAAATATTTTGTCAAAAGAAGGATAATGAGAAGAAATTATAGAAAAAAAAATAAAAAATTTAAGAATAAAATGATGAAATTGTGAGAGAGAAATTTGAAATTTAAGAGAAAATAAAAGTGAAAGAAAGATTGTATTAGTAAATTTTTTCTAAAAGCTATATTTATAACAAAAAAATAAGTTGAAAAAACAAACAAACATACTAGTCGTTGAACAAAAATTTGAACGTTGCTTCTCTTTTCTACGGTCCTCCACGTGGGAAACTCCATCCATTAGCAAAACAAAAAAGGAGTTTGTCAGGCTGGAAAACCGCTGAAAAAACCAACGTTGGAATAACTCTTAGGGGTAATTTTGACAACTACAACAAGTGTTATCTTGAATTTTGAAATGTGACACTTAAAAATGAATAAATATTTTTCTCTAAAAATTGACACTTAGAAAAGAACGGAGGGAGTAATTACTTTTAATGACTTTCACTATACAGTTAGAGTACCGTTGTATACTTAGAATTTTAGTTAGATTTAAGTTAACTCTATAAAACGAGAAATTAACATACCACCCACCATTTTATACATGCCACCCCCATACATGACACATTTACCAATTTGTCCCTGAAATATACTGGAATTTTGAAATTTTCGATTCCGTACCAGAAATTTCGTTAAACTTCTAAGTTTTTACCATGCAATTTGAAATGTCCGGTACCAGAAATTTTATAATTACGATGTTTTTCCTCTTGATAAAAACATATCGAAAATTTCAAATTTTCGATGTGTGAAAAATATCAGAAATTTCAAATTTCCGCTGTTTTTCTTCAATTATAAAACTTCATCTGCAAACATATCAGAAATTTTAAGTATAATTGAAATTTCTGGTACACCGGAAATTTGAAATTCCCGATAAAGGTTTTCTACTGGAAATTTCCAGTACGTGTAAAGTCTATTGTAAAATTTTACGAAAAATTTAAAATTTTCGATAAATCGCAATAGGAAATTTTGAAATTTCCGATATATCGCTACCAAAAATTTGTAGAATGTAAAGAATTTCCGGTATGCGACAAAAATCAGTATCAAAAATTTTCTAAGAGTACCGAAAATTTCAAAATTTATCCCTTTAACCAATAGTAATTTTTTTTTGATAAAAATAAAAAATTAAAATAAATAGTGAAAGAGATATTTTGAGAATACTGAAATTTGAGGGGTGGTATATGGGGTGGCATATTAATTTCTCCCATAAAACCTACCTATTAGGTAACAATTATTTTAACCTATTAACACATTCTCAAGCCAAAGCCTATGACTAAACATCTATAATGTGATTGGAGTAATTTGATAGAAAAAATTTAATAAAGACTTAATTCATCTTTTAATCCCGTAATTTAATTTATTGTTTCAATTTAGTCCCACAATTAATAAAACCCTAAATTAAACTATTACAAACCATGAACAGTTACAAAAATATCGTCAAAATAAATAACGAGCACGCGATGAATCAAAAACGAAACGACTAGGGTTTTGACCCTTGACTAAACCTATTTGCGATTGATGAAAGAAAAAATGTTTTTGTTTATTTTAAAAAAAATGGCATAGTTAAATTGAAAAAAAAATCCTAAATTCTAATTGATCTTGAATTAAGGAAAATAATAAATTCAATCTAAAACCTATTTTTGTATTTTTATTTATTTGAGAAAAAAAATAAAAGAATTAAATCAAGACTTTAACCTAATTTTCTAATTAGTTTTAATTATATAAAAGAAAAAAGTTAAAATTGCCCTAAGTTAAACTAAATTAAATTAAATTAACAAAATTAATTTTGATAAAAAAGTCTAATTCTAATTTTTTTTATTTTTCTTGATTTTATGATTTTATGGAAAATAGATTAATTGTTAATTAAAATAATTAAAAGAAAAATAAAAAGAATAAAAGTAAGAAAGAAAATTTAGAAATGGGCGTGACATCATTAGCAATTCTGGGGGTGGAAACTGAATTTCTGGGCCCAACGAGGCTAAAGCCTGTTTGACTTTGCCAGATCTGATGCGCACGTTGACTTGGGGGTACATGGTGGACCTTCAACAGAAAGGCATTGGATCTGGCTGGAGAGGAGTTTGATGGTTGGATCTTGATGGCATATGGTGGACGTACGCTAATGCAACGCGCTTGATCACCTGTTGAAAAATAATATGAAACAAATATTGGGACCTGGGGATCGAAACCAGGTCCTCAGGCCTACTTCCAATGCTCGCTTGCCAACTGAACCACGCATTTTTGTTATTCACATAATGGAAGTAAAATAATATAATCAAAAAACAAATAACATATTCAAAAGATGCGCAAAAATTCAAACCATCCAACCAGTGAGTGCCACACATCGTCTTCTTCCCCAAACCATCGTTTTAGCCTAAGATACTTTTACCTACAGACGCTTTGCTGTAGCTACAAACCTGTGCCATTCAAAAATTCTATACAAGCAATAT